CTGTTGTGATGCTTGGACGCTGTGACCCGTTGGTGGTAGGCAGCTTGTGTTTTTCCTTTTTTTATCTGTGGTGCTGGGGACTGAACCCAGGGTCTTGTCATGCCCAGCACAGCATCGTTGTACAGTTCTCTTGCCCCCGGTCATTCCAGGGAAAGACTGAAGCCAGGTCCTGGGGACTACGAGACAGGGTTTGAGAGTTGGCAGGAGGCAGAATCCAAGGGACTGAAAATCCAGGAAAACCTGCATTTCCTAAAAAGCTTACGGGTTTTTGTTTTTGTTTGTTTGTTTGTTTTTGAGACAGGGTTTCTTCGTGTAGCCCTGGCTATCTGGAACTCGCTCTGTAGACCAGGCTGGCCTCGAACTCACAGAGATCCACCTGCCTCTGCCTCCCAAGTGCTGGGATTAAAGGTGTGCACCACACTTGGCTGTTTTTGTTTTAAAATCATACTAATAATGCTAATTCCAGATATTTGTAGTTTTTCCTGATCATAAATAAGATATATAACTTTAACATTGCAACATTATGTGTCATATATAAAGTAAAAACCGGGCTGGGTAGGTGGATAGGATATGCTTGTTGTGAGTATCTGAGGACTGGAGTTCGGATTCCCAGCGCTCAGGTAAATGTTGGGTGAGTGTGGAAGCCCATGTGTAATTCCAGTACTCAGAAGGCAGAGGCAGAGGATCCCAGAAGCAGGCTGGTAGCCACACTAGCCAGCCATACCAGTGAGTTCTGGGCTCAACTGAGAGACATTGCTTCGCTGAGTGAGGTGGAAACCTGGTTGTCAGCCTCTGGCCACCACACTCATATGACACACATGTATACCCACACATGTGCCGACATATACACACATAACACAGACACATGAGAGAAAAAGTAAGAATCAAGACAGGTGTGGCGATACATACTAGTAGGAGGTGGAGGCAGGAGGATTATAAATTCAGGGTCACCCTTGGACACAGAAAGAGGTCAAACCCACTTCTTGTGAATGTTATAGGCAACTTCTAGTTCTGCTTTTGTTGTTGTTGTTTTTGTTTTGTGGTTTTTCCGAGACAGGGTTTCTCTGTGTAGTTTTGGTGCCTGTCCTGGATCTCGCTCTGTAGCCCAGGCTGGCCTCGAACTCACAGAGATCCGCCTGGCTCTGCCTCTTGAGTGCTGGGATTAAAGGCGTGTGCCACCACTATCACCACCGCCCCTGCCCCCCGGCTAGTTCTGCTTTTTGATGGCCAGGTGGGAGTGCCTGGGCAGGTAAGAATTCCATGGCCATGTCTGTGCTGCTGCTGTTCCCTCCGGGGATTGTGACCCCTGAGGTGGGCAAGCGTCCTGAGGTTTGTGTCTCTTCTCATAGGTGCAGCCGATCCAGCCGACACCAGCGGTCCCCCAGCCTGCCATGGTCGTCACCAGCCCGGCCCCAGGCATCAAGCCATCGGCTTCGGCTCCCATTCCCATCACCTGCTCAGAGACCCCCACTGTCAGTCAGTTGGTATCAAGTAAGTGATTCTTAGAGGGGGCATGTGGATCTGGGGTGCCTGGCGCACACCTCTAGCCCCAGCTACTCAGGAGGCTGGGACCAGAGGAGTTTTTGAGCCCAGGAGTTGAAGGCCAGCCTAGTGAGAGCCTGTCTTAAGTACATCCATACATTCCCCGGTGTCCAAAAGGAAAGGGTAGAGGCCCAATTGGAAAGATAGTAACTTTCAATTTTCTTTTACATTCATTTATTTGTTTGGGGTTAGGGGTGGGACAGGAGCGACCACAGTGTGCATGTGGGTCCTGGGGATTGAACTCAGGTCCTCAGGCTTAGTGGCAAGCGTCTTTACCACTGAGTCTCTTGTCTTCTACCAAGAGATGGCTTTCTTATTCCCTTTCCTGTTGGGGTGGCTATGGGCATGTTGGAAGTGGAGGCCGCTTAGCCGTCTGTCTGGTCACAGTGTGCCACTGGCTGGCTCAGTGTGGTCCCTCAGCCAGTTCTGAGGAATATAAACGGCCGACAGGTATGCCTGGCCCAGACTAGGGAGCATGGGAGAGGGTCAGCGTTTAGTCCTGGGAGAATTTAAAAACAGACTATCCCAGGAGGTCAGTCTAGAGCCTTTTCCTACAAGTCCTGCTTGTCTGGGGGGACACAGTGATGGGGGTCTTTGGATAAGTGCCCTCGTCCCTTTTACCACACCGGAGGGGCAGTGATGAGTCTCGTCTCCATGCGCTCCTCTCTGGTCCTTCCCTCTGACCTAGAGCCTCACACCCCAAGCCTGGATGAGGACGGGATCAACTTAGAGGAGATCCGGGAGTTTGCCAAGAATTTTAAGATCCGGCGGCTCTCCCTAGGTCTTACACAGACCCAGGTGGGCCAGGCTTTGACTGCCACAGAAGGTCCAGCCTACAGCCAGTCGGCCATCTGCCGGTAAGCGTGACTATCCCAGGATAAAGCCAAGGCCTGCTCCACGCCATAGCCAGCTCTCCTGGGCATCCGGGCATCTGGTCCCTTTCCACATTTCCCTCATGCTGCCCCCTTCCAGATAAGGAAGCCTGTCCTGTCGGGGCATGGACACTTGGAGCAGCCAGAGACTGAACCAGCTTCTCAAGTTTAGATCGACTCCGATCCTGAGTATTTAGCAGCTCACCCGAGGGAGGCTAATGATGAATCCTAGCAGGAAAGGATTACCACTTATGAACGTGGTCTGTCTTGGACCCGGGCTAGGCAATATTCTGGCATGCTCCTGGCTGTCTTGCCTCCCAGGCCTGCCCGTCAGCTCAGCTTGAAGGTGCAGCAGGCTTTGTTCTGATGCTTCCATGGGAGCACAGTGAGAGGAATGTGGCCCTCCTCTCTGGAGGCCATTCACGATGGCTCCTCAGAGGACGGAAGTCATTTGGGGGGAAAGTTCATGTCAAGTTAGAGCACACTTGTCATTCACCTGCCTAGCGGAGACTGTGGGCGCCGTCGTCTTCTGGAGGCCTGGGATATGGAAAGTCTGAGGAATCTGGGCTTTGAGGGGCCCGGAGGGTGGGGACGCTGAGTAGGAGGGGAGCTGCCCCTGTGAGTAAATAAATGTACAAAAGAGAAGAGGTAGCTGCAAGGTCTCTGCTCCTTCTCCAGGTTTGAGAAGTTGGACATCACACCCAAGAGTGCCCAGAAACTGAAGCCAGTTCTGGAGAAGTGGTTGAATGAGGCCGAGCTCCGGAACCAGGAAGGCCAGCAGAACCTGATGGAGTTTGTGGGCGGTGAGCCCTCCAAGAAGCGCAAGCGGCGTACCTCCTTCACACCGCAGGCCATAGAGGCTCTCAACGCCTACTTTGAGAAGAACCCCCTGCCCACCGGCCAGGAGATCACCGAGATCGCCAAGGAGCTCAACTATGACCGTGAGGTGGTACGGGTCTGGTTCTGTAATCGGCGCCAGACGCTCAAAAACACCAGCAAGCTGAACGTCTTTCAGATCCCTTAGGGCTTCGTCTCGGCCCTTGTTCCAGCACCTTCTACTCTCCCTTCAGCTGCCGGCTGTCGTGGCTGCAGTGACAGTCCCTGTGTGCAGCTGTGTGCAGCTGTGCGCAGCTGTGTGCAGCTGTGCTTGCCCTGGGTCATGAGACCTCACCTGTGCATGTGTGTCAATGCCTGCCTCTTCCGCCCACATATGTCACACCCTGGGGAGGCCCAAGGGGCTGCATGAGAGACCTCGGCTCTGGGCTGGGCACATGGAAGGAGGGGATTTGTGATGTCCTTTCGAAAAGCACTTTGCCAACATGGTATTCTGAAGGGTGAATTCTGGTTGGGAACCAGAAAGGCTCTGCCTTTGGGACAGGGCTGTAGCGACTCTTGGGGACCACTGTGCATTAGCTCTTGTTTTGGGTGGCACTCACCACCCCTTGCCCTTGGCTCCTCTGTGGTTGTCCCAGTGTGATAGCTCACCCAGGGAGATCCCAGCCTCACACTGCCCTCCTGTACTTTGTACACGGGCGCATTGAACCCTTTAAAGGACCAAGGATATGAAATTCAGAGATGTGTGACTCACTGTCTGCCTTGACCTCAAGGGCAGAAGGTCCCCGAAGCTGTGAGGTCAGGTGCCGCGAGGTCCCTCCCAGGGTCCTGGGGATGGCGGGTTTGCACGAAGCAGAACCTTTTCCTCTGCAAGCCAAGTTGGAAGGGAGGTAACAGCGAACTCTCCCATCCTGGAGAGTCCTGGGTCTGTTGTAGGTCTGGAATTTAGTAAATAAGGCCATCTGCCCAGGTTTTAATCTGACCTTCGTCCGTCCGTGGCTGTCCCCCAACAAAAGAGAGCTCTCAGCTTGGGGACATTTCCACTTCCGCAGGCAGCTGCAGGGGCACAGATACTGGCTTTCTCCCTCTCCCTTATGCCCATGCCCATCTCAGTCCAGTCCTGAAGTCTCTTTAAAGGAGCAAACTGAACGGTAAGTCAGACAGCAAGGGCCTGGAGTCTGGAGGGGGACAGCATCCAGAAAGATGGTGGTCCAGGAAGATCTCGCCGAGGCCGACTTACCTCTAGTTTCCTCTGTAACTTTAAGTCTTGGATGTTGGATTCCTCTCACTCTGTCCGATTGAAGTCTGTGTGTGAGCAACTCCTATATCCTCCCCCCCCCCCCCCCGCAATGCTCCTGAGCCCAGAGGGCCCCAGGTTGGCATGGACTTTGGCCCTGTAGGTGAAGGCACACTGAGGCTGGCATCATATCCAAGTCACTGAGTGAGCTTCCGGCCACAGGGAGGCTGGCCAGCCCTCTCACTTCAGTGTGTCGGCCGGGGAATGCAGCTCAGCGATAGAGAACTTAGCATGTGCAAAGGCTCCAGATTCAGTTTCTAGCACTGAGGGGGCAAAAATCAGTATTTGGTTTCAGGAAGCCAGGAAAGAGCTAAGATGTTTGCCCGAATGACCCCAGACTTGCCGTGTAGACTGTCCCTGACAGGCAGGGGTTGACCATTTCACTACTTTTTGGGTTGGTTTGCTGTTTTTTTTTTTGTTTTTTTTTTTTTGTTTGTTTTTGTTTTTTTGAGATAGGATCTCACTTAGCCCAGGCTGACTCTAAACTGTGGTTGAGGATGACCTTGAACTCCTGATCCTCCTGCCTCCACATCCCAAGTGCTGGGATGACAGTCGTGTACCACCGTGCCTGGCTCTTCTCCACTCTCAGCCTTACAGAGCCTGCTCTCCAGCTGATGCCCACCCTGTACCTCATGTGATCTGCTTGAGGAGGTGATAGTCAAACAAAGACCCTCCCGGTCACAGCGGACGCCGGGGCCTAGCTTCCTCTCTGACACTCCGCTTCCTTTCCTGATGACTGCTAGTCCCTCTTGGGTCCGGCAGTGGCTGTGTGGAGGACCTCCTGGTAGCTCTGATAGGGAGATGGGGAGAGTTGTGTGCTGAATCAACACACACACACACACACACACACACACACACACACACACACACACACACACTTCACTGCATCGAATCAACCAAACCTGCTGGGGTCTGTCGGGAATAAGGAGACAGGTGGGCAGCTTTCCTGACTCGCCTACCAGGACAGACTGTCCCCAGAGGAAGAAGCTCCGTGTCCTAGATTGTGTTTGTCAACCTGCTTCCATGAGATGGGCAGTCGGAGGGGGCACTGTATGAGTTTTCAGTGGGGATGCTTACATCTGGAGGAATTATATGCAGCTTTTCTTGCTCAAAACCTGCACTCAGGAGTGCTTTTTTTGCGTGTGGGTAGCATGTAATATGAAGTGTGGCCATGCTGTGGACATACAAGAGGATACCATCTGTTCTGTGGCATGACAGGAAACAACAACAAAAAAAATCGCCAATCACTGATCTAAATTGAGCCCGGCTGTGCCATGCTAGATTAAACCATTTTCGCCTGCGTAGGGAAGACACATTTGTCATTCAGAAGAAAAGTACGAATGAGCCCGGATGTTTACAGGCTGGATCTCTCAAAGGGGGTGGGGGTGCAAGGTATGCATAAAATGTACCCAAACTATAGTTCACTTTGGTCTATGAACTCTGCCTCTGCTCCCCCAATCTGGGCCACTAATCTACAAGGCAGTTTTTGTTATTGTTAGAGGTTGGGTGGCATTGGGCTCTAAAAAAGAATTAATAGTTTTATTTTGAAAGCACCTTCCAGGACTTAAGCCCGTGCCCAATGGCTTTTTTTTTCTTCTTTTTTTTGTTTTTTTTTGTTTTTGTTTTGTTTTGCCCTGAAAGATAGGAGAATGGGCAGAAACCGGTTAACTGTGTGGTTGGTTAGTTTTAAGTGACGGCAAACTAGGACTTTCCATGGCCCACTGGATCCGCTGGGCCCTTTGACCCTGCCCTAACGATGGCATTTTATCGAAGCAAAGTCCAGAGAAGAAACTGGTCACAAGAACTGTAAACGCACTTGAGTTTGGAATGAGAAACCCTGATGTGTTTGTGTCCTTGAAAATCCAGTCACCTGGGTTCCCTCCCTGCCTCCTGGGCCAGAATCCGGCCTTGAAGTCCCGATGGTCTCCCAGCATGGGGCACGGCCCCCTGGAAGCTGTGGAGGAGAACCGGAGAAGCACTTGAGCAGTTGTGTGAATAAACAGTATTTTTTCTTTTGTATGGCTCCGCCTTGTTACTTCCCAAACGCGAGAGAACCAGGGCCAGAGGCCGAGGCTGCTTCAGAGCTGCCTTGGCTGCTGAAGGCCTGCCCAGAGAACCCGCAGAGGGTGCTGATCAGTGCCTGGTTCCCACTTCAGGTGACCCTGCTTGGGCCTCCCAAGCCTCAACTCTCCCTCTGGGGCTGGGGTGTGTGTGCAGGGCTGGGGGGGGCAATGCCCTTTTTCTCCTGAACTGTCCTGGTACTTGGGGTCCCAGCATCCTTTGCTGAGGCTGCTTTTGAGCCTCTCTTCTTCCCAGAGACAGGCGCTGGCACAGACGGGGCGGGGGCGGGGGGCAGGAGGGGGTTCTTACAGCCCAGAAATCCCCCATCTTGAGAAACTTTTAATAAGGGGGTCTACCTGGAAGGAGCCAGCAGGCCTGGAGTCTATCCGGTGAGGGCCTCTTCCTCATAGATGCAAGTCTTTACATGGAATGCCATGTGGTAGAGGGAAACATGCTCCCTCAGACATCTTTTTAAAAGGCTCTCTACCCTCATGACTTAATCATAACAGTAATAACAGCTTCATTTATACAGCTCTTTATTAAAACGTGGGTCTTATTTTGTACTCTTTTCCGCAGCCTGCAAATGTTCAGGACAGACCTCTGAGTTTAAAGCTAGGAGAGTCCAGCTGCTGAGAGGGCGTCTCTTGACCCGTCCATCTCCTAGGAACAGTATTTATACCATCTCCCTCGCTGCCCTCACCCCACCTGCTGGTGTGGATGAGTCTGAACTGTGTGCTCTAAACCGGCAAGAACGAGATAGCCCCTTTACATTGAGTTCTAGATCATTTTCCAGCTCCCTGCCTAAGCGCAAGGGGTTAATGGATGTCAAAGATTCTAACCCAAGGCTTGGGCTGAGAGGAATTTTGCAGAACCCTGAAACAATGGGGCACCAGCATTACGCTAGCATTGATCTCAAACCCTGATATTTAGTGCTAATTAGCCACACAAGTGTGGGATCAGTAATGTGGTCCAGCACAAGGCAGGTGTTTGATAATCTTGATAATCGCCACATGGAAAAGTAAACGTGCTTCATCCCTTTGCCTTCAAGGAAACAATGAAGTCTGAGACCCTGGCTTTGGGAATGCAGGCACAAGGGTTATACTTAGGCCTGAAGCTTTGGACTGTGAAACTTGGGAGTGAACAGAGTCTGAGCAGAGACCGCATCAGGAGGCTCCCGGGAGCTGGGGGCACTGGCTCAGGCCAGTTCAGAGTGGTTTCTGGCAGTTGGCCCAGGAGATTTTAGACTTTAGAGAAAGGGGGGTAGATATGTACAAGACTGCAGTTTTATTCCCACACTTGAGAAGGTCATTGCTCTGCAGATGGTTTTGAAGGGGAATTTTTTAATTTTTATTTTTTAATGCGCTGGAGAAGTGGCTGGTTTGGAGACTGGAGAAGAGAGAAAGCCAAGATGGTTTGGATCTGTGGGACGTTAGGAACGTCCGATTAGTTTTCAGCCACAAGGTGCTGAAAGCTCACCAGGCCTGAGAGGCTGCCTTGGAGAGCTGGGGAGAGTGAAGGCTGGGTTGGTCCTGAAAGGGTCTCCTGGGGTTAGATCTTTCCGTACCTGGAGGAAAGCGCAGGGGTTGGCCTAGACACCCAGAAATGCTGATTGACCAGAATAATTGAGAAGGGAAGCCTGGAGGACAGAAAGGTTGGGATCCATGAAGCCTGAGTCCTTAAGTCTGAGATGACTGAATTGTCTCAAGGTGTCGATAAGACAGCTAAGGTGTTCTTTCTGTCAATTAGAGCTAAGCTTCACCCATCACTATGTGCTACGCTTTCTTCTAAATTTGCAACGTTCATTGTCTCAGCTGGTCCTCACGATGATGTCACGATAACGTCATGCATTAAGAGCTGCCATCAGAGTCCCTTGACAGCTGGGGTCAAGGTTCAGGGAGGATGAAAGTGCTCAGAGTCACTTTGTTTCCGAGCGGCAGAATCGGGACTTGAACCTGGGCTATCTCTACAGCTTTTTTGTGTGTTTAACCAACACCTCACTCTGGACAGAGGATGACATCTTACATTTAAGAAGTGTCCACTTTCAGGACCTGAGCTAGGGAAACAAACCCTTCACAGTACATTTCTTTTGGGGAAGAGGTTTGAGATAGGCACTCACCTATGAGACTCGCAATCATTCTCAACTTCACCACAGTCCATAAAAGTGGATTAGGACCTTTTGTTATTGTATTTATTATGTTCAACAGGAACTATGCTTTTATAGGTTGAATTAATGGGTTCAGAAATCTGGCCTGATGGTACCTATTGCTGAATTTCTAGGGTGCTGGGCCCCTGGGACCCCTGTCTCCAACCCTGGAGCTCTAACTTCACTCTAGCTGCAGTGGGAAGGGAGGGGGAGGGGAGTCTGTGAGGCGGACTGGACCTGGACTGGGTCTCAGAGCAGGCTGTGTTCCATAGGATGGGCCAGTGCTCAGGAATTCTTTTTGCCATCTTGATTTGTTTTAGGATTATAAACAGGAATACCCTTGTGAATCTTAACTGTACTTCAAAATTCAAATTTAGGCTCAGACATTTCCAAGAAATACATGTCTATCTCTCTCTAAATATTCTGCCAAGGATCAAGTTCCATCATGTCCCTGAATATGGCAGAACTCTCTCTTCTAAAGTGCTAGCAGTATTTCTGGTTTGGGAAATCCATTGCCTTCTATGGATGAGAAAACAGCTTCATCCAATAAGTCTTTTTTTAAAGATTTATATATTTTAAAAAGATTTTTCTTTAAAAAAAAATTTTTTTTTTGAGATAGAGTTTCACTCTGAAACCCTGGCTGACCTAGAGCTCACTATGTAGACCAGGTTAGTCTCAAACTCAAAGATACATCTGCTTCTGCCTCCCAAGTACTAGAATTTGTTCACTATAGACCAGTCTGGCCTCAGACTCACAGAGATCCACCTGCCTCTGCCTTTTGAGTACTGGCATTAAAGGTGTGCCTCACAGTGCCTGGCATTCATGAAATATTTTCAATATTTATGTATTTTATTTTATGTGCTTGAGTGTTCTGCCTGCATGCCTATATTACCAAATGTGTGCCTGGTACCCTGAGAGGTCAGAAGAGAGCATCAGATCTCCTGGAACTAGAGTTATAGATAGTTCCATTATGTGAGTGCTGAGAACCCAATCTGGGGGCTCAGTGGTTAAGAGCACTGGCTGCTCTTGCAGAAGACCTGGATTGGGTCCCCAGAACCCACATGGTGACTCACAACTGTCTGTAACTCCAGTTCCAGGGGATCTGACACCTCTTCTGACCTCTGTGGGCACCAGCCATGCATGTGATACACAGACATACATGCAGGCAAAACACTCAAGCATACAAAATCTACAAATCCTTTTTTATTAAATTTTTTCATTTATTTTACATACCAACCAGTTTCCCCTCCCTCCTCTCTTCCCATTCCCTCCCTCCATCTACTCCTCCTCTGTTCAGAAAGGGGCAGGCCTCCCATGGGAGTCAACAAAGCATGGCACATCACTTTGAGGCAGGACCAAGTTCTTCCCCCTGCATCAAGGCTGGGCGAGGCATCCCTGCATGAGGAATAGGTTCCAAAAAGCCAGCTCATGTGCCAGGAACAGGTGCCATCCCACTGCTAGGGATCCCACAAACAGACTAAGCTACACAACTGTCGTCCATATGTAGAGGGCCTAGGTCGGTCCTGCGAAGGCTCCCTAGCTGTCGGTCCAGAGTCCATGAACTCCCATTAGTTCAGGGCTATAAGTCTTTTTAAAAAATTAATAAAGTTTAGATGTATTTTCATGTCTAAGTGTGTGTGTGCACATGTGCATGCTATGGTGTATATGTGGAGGCCGGCTTGTATGAGTCGGCTCTCTGCTTACACTCTGAGTTCCCAGATAGAAATGAGGCTGGCAGCAAGCACCCAGTGATCCATCTCACCGGCTGGGATGCTTAGTTGTTGTTGTTTTGTTATTGTTGTTGTTGTTTGTTTGTTTGTTTTAGGTTTTTCAAGACAGCGTTTCTCTATGTAGTTTTGGTGCCTGTCCTGGATCTCGCTCTGTAGATCCAGACTGGGCTGGCCTCAAACTCACAGAGATCTGACTGGCTCTGCTTCCCGAGTGCTGGGATTAAAGGCGTGCGCCACCGCCATCCAGTGGGAGAGCCATTTTAAAGGACATGGAGAGAGAAAGCCTTCGCTCTTGCCTGGGATGAGTTCATCTACTGCTGTTGCTGCTGATGATTTCGCTGACATGGGAACCAGCAGTTTTAGGCTTCCCATGTGGCCTGGCCATCAGCAGTTCCCCAGGAATCCTTCAGGCATCCACAGTGCCAGGTGAGGACCACTGAGGCTCCAGCCTATGGAGAGAGCAGCGACTGGGTTCTCTGCCTCTTGGGTGTGAGAAAGCCATTGTTGGACTTCTCTTAACTTTATCATGTAAGTCAGCCTAATAAATTCCTTTTTACTCTATATATTCAAGTCATCTTTTCCTTTAGAACCCCTGAATAATATACTAGCCCTCATCATTTAATTTCCTAAGACTGAACTGCCTTGTCTATGAAATGAATTTAATGCTAACTTTTTTATGGAGGGTGGTGAAGATGAGATAATATTTTAAAGCCATTAGGCCAATACTTAGGAAGGGCTCAGAACACATGAGACTGTTTGTGGTAATATTGTATTCCCCAATACATCGTGCATCCTAATAAATTTATCTGGGGTCAGAGAACAGAACAGCCACTAAACACACATAGAGACCAGAAAATGGTGGCACTCACACCTTTAATCCTAGCCTTCTGGAGGCAGAGATTCATCTGGATCTCTGTAAGTTCAAAGCCACACTGGAAACAGCTAGATGTAGTAACAAGAGCCTTTAATCCCAGGAAGTGATGGCAGGAAGCAGAAAGGTAAATAAGATGTGAGGACCAGGAACTAGAGCTGGTTAAACTTTTAGGATTTCAACAAACAGTTCAGCTGAGATTCATTCTGGATGA